ATTCATTTTCTTCTTTTGAAAAGAAAAGTTTGATTCGACTTGCTGAGTTTTATCCATTAGATTTCTCCGTATTAGATCTCGTTGTATTTCATGATCAACTTGAGACTTATATTTTTGACATGCGCTCTAACAAAGAGTTTGAAGGGTTGAACGACCTTGGTGATCTTGCAGAAAAGTTAGTTCTGACAAAGAAAAATATGATATATCCATTGGTTTACAAGTTTTTCACTTTAGCATTGATTCTACCGGTTACTACCGTTACTGTGGAGATAGTCTTTTCTGTAACAAGCATTATAAATGATAGATTGCGTAATCGGATGGGTGATCAGTGGATGAATGATAGCATAATTGTTGATGTAGAGAAATATATATTTTTGAAACTCGATAATGAAATTATTGTACAACGATATCAAAATATTAAAACTCGAAAGGAGCAATTATAATTTATAAACTATGTTATTTTTAGTATCGTCGTAATATTGTTTTATATTTTTATTATCATTACATCCATGACGAAAACTCGATGTTCAACATTGATAAATTGTACCCACCCTAAATTACTTTCCTGGCTCCGCCCTTGGATATAATGCATTTCCCGTCCCACTTAGATAAGGATTTCTGCGGAATAGGTGGGACATTTACCATCCCTAGTAATTTGCAACAATTTATGTGGCCTATCATTGCTCCCCATTAAATTTTAATTCATTTTTATTTTTCATCTTATTAACCACGTATCTTTTCAATAAAATAATATTTCACATAAATCCATAAATTCTCCTTACTTTTTAATCACACATTTTTCAATAAATATTATTCCAAAATCAATCTTTTTCAAATAATAGAGCTCAAAAAATACTTTTTAATCACACATTTGTCAAGAAATATTATTCCAAAATCAATCCTTTTCAAATAAATAATAGAGCTAAAAAAATGGCGTGATTTTCGAGAATCAAATACTCTATACTTGAAAGGGTTTAAGTGCTAGAATTATGAAATTTTGGGGGCTACATTGATGTTTACCCTAAATTTACTCGAGGACTCGAATCGACAAAATAATTCCAAAATTACATGAGAAGTTATGCTATAGCTTTACGTGCAACAATGGCGAAGCACTCGACGGGGTTGATTTCAGTTCGCAATAAATGGCCATTAATAATTCTTCTATGCATCACACTCTCCTCTGCAATTGCTTTCTTCATCAGAGCTTCGTTCGATGGATCCTGCAATTCCCAACGTTTCATGGACGATACCAATCAATTCCACTCAAAAATTGCAGAAACTGAAAATCCACTCACTTTCATGAAATCAAAGCTAGTACTTTTGGTTTCACACGAGCTTTCTCTCTCCGGTATGACTTATTTTGACTCTAGTTATTAATTATTTGGAAATATGATGGAGAATAGTGCTTTTAGTTGATGTCACTCTATTACATATAATCTGTAGACAGTTTTTTATCAAAAGGTTTGTTATTAGTAATTTTTTCTTGGATTTTGAAGAATTTAAGCTTGGATTTATTTTCTCTAAATAATTTTTTTCTTGGATTATGAAGAACTTAAGTTTGGATTTATTTTCTATCACAAACCTCAAAGTGATTAAATTGTTGCGATGGTGCCCATAGTGTGTGAATATCTTTTGAAAGATTGATAGTTGTAATGGATTGTCAGTTTGGATTTCCGTCAACTGAGTCATTATTGATATAAGGCTTCATTATGGTTTCATCTGAAGATAGTGTTATTCTGTGTTTGAAATGATTTGGAATGTTTTCCCCGTCGGCGTGACCATGAAAGGTCTTTAATGTAACTTATTTTAATTGTATCAGTAATTTTTGGACTTTTTTCTCCAAATTTATCTGGGTTAAACTAATCAGATATCAGTTCTCTTTATTTTAGCATGAAAGCATTCACAAAGAATTTTTTTTTGCAGGTGGACCATTGTTGTTAATGGAGCTTGCTTTTCTTCTAAGAGGTGTTGGCACAGAAGTTGTTTGGATTACCAATCAGAAACCTAATGAACCAGATGAATTGATTTACAGTTTGGAACAGAAGATGAAGGACAGAGGAGTACAGGTACTATAAGGTCCATATCTTAAAACAATGATCTTGTTTATTCAAGAAACATGAAAGATTCTTTCAATTGGACAATGTTTGCTATTATGGTAATGATGTTGTATTGTGGTTTCTTTCTATTCATTCAGCTTTTCACGGCAAAGGGTCAGGAAGCTGTTGATATCACACTTAAAGCTGATCTAGTCATTTTAAACACTGCAGTTGCTGGGAAGTGGTTGGATGCTGTCCTAAAGGAAAGTGTGCCTCATGTACTACCAAAGGTGTTGTGGTGGATTCATGAAATGCGAGGGCATTACTTTAAACTGGAGTATGTTAAGCACCTCCCTTTTGTTGCAGGTGCCATGATTGATTCCCACACAACTGCAGAATACTGGAAGAACCGGACTAGTGCGCGTCTAGGGTATGCTGTTGCCTCAAAATATACTATATAGTGTGGAGTTCTATGTTTTCATCCTTACATTCTTTATTTATGTAGAGAGTACAATTTTGTTCATCAATGTTAACAGTGTTGCCTTTAGGCTTTCTCATTGATAAGATCATTACATAGATATGTCCTGATCCTTTTCATTTTTTTCCTACTATATTTGACTTTTCATACGAGTTGCTATCTTAAAGTTAATGAAATGCAGCATCTAGTGAAAAGATTACTCTTATTGTATGTTGTAATAATCAGTTGTATTCCTGCCAATTTATGTTCTTTAGGCATTCATAATGTTAAGCCTTTATTTAGAAATTTTATCTAAGCTTCTGTGGGTATTCCATAGTATGCAGTAAGATGATCTTGTTGGTTAGTCTTCCCTTGATAAGACTTACCAACTGGTCTTCCTCATAAAATTTTTAACATTACTTCCCTGATCTAGCATCTATTGCGATTCAGTATAGATCACTCAGTTACTGAAAAAGAGTTGCTGTGACTTCTTCCTCATATATCAGATAAAAATTCAAATGATGATATGTTTGTCATCTTGAATTTATTCTCAAAAGTAGAATGTAGAAAGATAATGGTTAGAGAGTTTTTAGATTTAACATTGTAATCTGGTTTACTGGATGAGTTAATAAGAGTGCAATGGAGTTGGTCTTTGGCCCTCTCTCTCTCTTTCTCATCATGGCACTCGACCATTAAAATATTTTGAATTAACTTACACTCTTGCAGTTTCTGCTACTTGTTTACAATACGTTTCTTTAATTTTTGTGATGCAGGATTAAAATGCCTGAGACCTATGTTGTGCACCTTGGAAACAGCAAAGACTTGATGGAAGTAGCTGAAGACAGTGTGGCAAGAAGGGTTCTCAGAGAACATATTAGGGAATCACTTGGAGTGCGGAAAGAAGATCTTCTCTTTGCCATTATCAATAGTAAGCTTTTCTTGTGATGAATAATAATCCATGCTAGATAGTTTATTCAGCAATTGATACCCTATATTTTTGTGCCTTTAGATAAATATAGAGGTATATGATTACTGATTATGCAAAAAATTGAACTCAACCACTGCCCATCTGTTATTTAATTTGATAATATATTAATTGCAAAACATTAAATGCACAAATCCTTCACTTGCATGCTAAAAAAAAAAAAGCTGAATAATTACACTTGATTTTTATTCTAATTCTGAGTTTCAAGAAGACATGAAAGTGACTGCTAGTAAAGATCCTGTCTTGATGATATGAATTTATTTTAGACCTATGTGAAAGTAAATTGACCATGAAATTGTACTCTCATATTTCTTGCACGATAGCCTACATGATTGGATCTCATACATGGCTAAAGTTCATTATGATACTCTGTATGGTACTTGGTCAGAATATAAACATATAGCAAGAAAACATTTAAAATAATTGCTCATGTTAAACTTTTCATCAGTATACTCTCAAATATGTATCATATTTCTTTAGTTCTTAAAAAAATATTTATATGGATAATTATATAATATGTTCCAGAAATTGTGGATATCATATAAATAATACCTAAGATACCGCACAAAAAATTGCAGATATTTTCCAATACATTATGCCCTTGTTTGGTACACATTAAAATTTTTATTTTCATTCTTCTACTCATTTTCGACCACATATTTTTCAATAAAATAATATTTTCCATCACATCAATAACTTTTCCTTCTTTTTCAACAACACATTCTCCATCAATCTACTATTCCAGAATACATTTTTCCAAAATAATGTGGCTCAAACACACCCTAAATATTTAAAATGGGGTAATTCTGGCTAAGAGGAATGTTTTTCACATTAGAAAGAATTTAAAGCCAGGGCTTTTTTATAATTATGATAAAAATATTGAAAGAAGGTGCAGATGCCTGTTTAAAACAAGAAATTCCGTTACATTGTCCGTTACATCAATAACTTTTCCTTCTTTTTCAACCACAAATTCTCCATCAATCTACTATTCCAGAATACATTTTTCCAAAATAATGTGGCTCAAACACACCCTATATGAAAGAATATCCAGTGGGATATTCAAATATCTCTATGGAAAATATGCCAAAGAGATATCATTCCTGTACTCATGGAGATTGGAGATATTAATGGAGATGTCAATTGAATCATGGATCTTAAAATGCGTATCAATGTTTCTTCCATGAATTGTTATGTGATTGCCAGAAAAAGAGTGTTGAAAGAAGAAAGAGAATTGAACAGGTTGCCTTAACTGTCCTGTTCATCCAGTTTCCATTTGCCTTATGATGACCTTCAATGTTCAATCCCATAATCCATTTTTTTTCCTTAAATAATTTTACAAGCAACCCATCTAGCCTCATGTTTCTTGTACTTGATGAGTTGATTGATTTTTTGTAGAATTCATTTTTATTACATCAAATTACATGGTTCCTGAAAACTACATATTCAATTGTTTCAGGTGTTTCACGTGGGAAAGGTCAGGATCTATTTCTTAGGTCTTTCTATGAAAGTCTGCAACTTGTCCAAGAGAAGAAACTGCAAGTGCCATCTATGCATGCAGTTATAGTGGGAAGTGACATTAATGCACAGACTAAATTCGAAATAGAACTGCGCAACTTTGTGGCAGAGAAGAAAATTCAGGATTGTGTTCACTTTGTTAACAGGACCCTGAATGTCACTCCTTATCTGGCCTCTATCGATATTCTTGTTCAGAATTCTCAGGTAGTGAAATCATAATATTGATAGCATACTTTGCAGGGATTATTTGTTCTAATTTATATCTTATATTTACATAAGTTGCTTGCACTTCTTTAGTAATGGATATTCTGTGGGATCTATGATCTGATAAAAGAAACTTTTGGTGAATCTATCAAAAATCGTTAAGATCGAACTGGGAAGGCACTGAATTAAGCTTGTTAGGTCAATGAATCTTCTATGCCTGTGGGATCAAAATAAGTTCTGAATTTGTGGAATGTCATGTGAATAATTATTTAATTATAACAAAAAGAATGAATTGCCAACATGGCATATCTGACAGGACTAGAATTGTTGGAGTTTTGCTGTGGGCCAAATTGCATATACACCTGTTTGTTCCAGAATCAAACAAATCGTCTCTAGTTATTTCAGGACGTTTATTAAAATAAAATGAAATCCTATGATATCTGTATTTAGGACTGATCTTTAGTTCATCTTACTGAAAAAGCAAATTTTAATTTTTATCTGTCAATATGTAGGCACGGGGAGAGTGTTTTGGGAGAATTACCATTGAAGCTATGGCTTTTCAGCTGCCCGTATTGGTGAGCATTTAACTCGTATAATTGGATTATCATTTTTTGTGCATATTCGTTAATTGCATTTGCTCATAGATACATCTAAGCATGTTTAAGTTTTCTTTCTAACTTTATCGTGCGAGGCCATGCTCTTTCAAAGAGCTTGGATATATCTAACGACTTTCTAGTGGTTCATCTTAAACAATTAAATCTTCACATAATTGCAAGGTTATATAGAAGATATAAAATCTCGTGACAACCGATTCAATAAGTTCTTTGCCAATAACCAGGTCTGATAAATAGGAGTGTCATCATAGGATAAACCGATCCTTTTGACAAATTATCTTCCTTGGCAAGTTGACTGGTACTCTCATAAAGTTTGAATAGATTTTAAGTCTTTTAATCAAAATCATTTTCTAACTAGTAGGGGCTCGCTGCCTATGCCAAATGTATGTTTTACAAAGCCCCATTGCATTCCCTTGTGTATCAAATTTCTGCAGTCCAAAGCCTTTGTGATGGTCTAAGCTATTTGCTTGAATGCAATTGCTAGGATCACAAAGAGCATGTTTGGAAGGGAGGATTAGAAATCACTTGACACTATTAAGAAAGAAAAGAAGTGAAGTTTAGTTTAATATATTGTCATGTCATGTCTAATACTGTGTAGCAATACATTTTTTTTTCTTTTGGCTCCCATCACCTCTCACATTTATTAGTTCCGATCAACAAGAAGCTTTTTTCTGGCGAGCAGTGAAAATGAGTGATTCTCACTTCTTCAAGTCTTTCAGTTCCACACTTCCAAATCTCAGTTTATTGGTGGAATTCAACAGGCTTCTTGAGCAATGAGGTAGTCAGAAAATTAAGCTCAAATTGTCATGATTTTCTAAGAAATTCTAAGATACTTTTAGGTCGAAAGCTTGAATAATGAAAATATATTTAACTTTTCCCTTACATAATAAGCTTATTGTTGACCAAAGAAACAATGCATCTGGTCATTTTTTGTACGAAAACCAAACTTGATGTTTTTTTTCTTTAACAATCAATTAAACTTTGCAATCCATCAAAAACTTCCAATGCATGTTCCTGCAAGTTTCACCCACTGGGATTACTCTAAACTTGACATTTCTTAACTAGTGAATGGGATTCTACGTAATGCTTTACGGACAAAACCCATGCTACTAAAATATAACAGGGAAAACAAGGAAGTATGGAACATATTGGAGACAAGTTCATATGTGTTTGGGAACCAAGTATATGCCTTGAAGATTAATCATGTTAGACCAGATACTCCTTATTAAATATTTTCTACCCTTCTTTTTTTAGTAGAACCAGTTATCAATGTTAGTGTAGCGAGATTCTGCATTCATTCGCAACAAGCTGTTATAGAGGCAACAAAGTTATTTATATAAACTGTATACCTTCAACGCCCCTCCTGTGAAGTAGATGTTTATTTTTCCTCAAAAGGTCTGACATGAAAAGTTTTCATAAAATCGACAGTTACAAGAAACTCAGGATATCTATCTGTTCTAATATTATAGTGAACTACTTTATCTAAAAGCTTAAGCCATGAGAGAGGACACAAACTTATTTATTTAAATTATATCTTTGACATATATGTCAGGGCACTGCAGCTGGAGGTACTACGGAGATTGCTGTAAATGGGAACACCGGGTGGTTGCATCCAGCCGGGAAAGAGGGTGTAACACCACTTGCACAGAACATCGTCCGACTAACTACAGATGTCGAGACGAGGCTGAAAATGGGGAAACAAGGTTCTGCAAGAGTCAGAGAAATGTTTCTTGAACAACACATGTCACACAGAATTTCCTTGGTCTTGAAGGAGGTTTTGCAAATGGCCAAGAAAAATGCTAAAGGCTTGAAGTAACTTGAGAGGAGTATGATGTTTTGCTTGAAAGAGTAAGTGATTTGAGCTTGCAAAATCATGTATCGATAGGTCATCTATCTCTATATCTGTCTGTCTATATTTGTTGTAACTAACTCAAATATAATGTTTTTTTTTTTTTTGAGGATTGATGAGGATTAAATTCTTGAACATAAAGAGTGATATTAGACACAAGACAACTAATTTTCTTCCCGCTTGAAACACATGATTAATTCAACCCATGTTCCTTCAATTATGTTGCTTTCTTTTAGATTCTCGTGGAGGATATTTTCACACTCATCTCACAGTTGGATGGAATTGCGAGCGAGCCTTAGGCTTCGACAAAAGAAACTGGCTGTCACTCATTAAAGTTCTTAAAACAGTAGAAAAAATGCATTTTTTTATCCAACAAAATTTTACTATAATAGAAAAAAAAAAATCAAGATTACCATAAAAGTTTACTGTTTGAATTATTCTTAGATTGACTATCCTAATGTCACTTCAATGAAGAGTCTTTTGTTTTGTTTTTATATCTGCATGTGGGCACCTTAAATAGGACCACGTAGGCCCTCGTTCCTTAAATTTATATTTGACAATTGAGAAAACCTTTGTCCTATTCAGTATTTAAAAAAGCGGCGCCTGATTGTCTAAGCTAGCCTAGATTGAAGCTCGACCTTTCAACTTTGCCCCGTTTAACGCTTTTTAGAATACTGATTTTAATTGATAGCAGCCTAACTTTTTTCATCATTCCATGCTAACAATACTGTTTATTAGCACAAAACCTCCATATATACGGAGTTCATTATGCAAAATGTTTCAATGTTGTATTTTTTTGTATTTTCACCCATATTTACAACTTTTTATTGTGAAAATTATCATTTGCATATATTTTCATCCAATTTTTTAATAAAAAATTATGAAACGACAGAAAAGAAAGGAAAAAAAATAAAGAATTAATTAATTGGAACCACCCTCCCAATTTTTTTTTTTAATTCAAACAAGTACCAAATAAATTATTAAAAAAAAAATTTCTTTTCCTCCACCACCACCAGCAGAAATTGAACGGATTTGAGCAGAATAATGGTTTATTGCTCAAGAAAACCCAATTTCCCCTTCCTTCCTGTATATAGCCCACATATTCATCCACAAAAGATCAGCAATCTGTTGTAGAGAATCATCTTCTCCATATCTAAAGATTCCTCAATTCATATTATTTATATATATTCTATTTTCTTCTCATTGAATTTTGGGGATTTAGGGTTCGAAAATCGGTATATAACGCCAAAGGCAAGAAGATCAGTTTGAAAAACTGAGGCAATTAGTTCGGTAATTTAATAATTTCGGGATTATCTGATCTTGGGTTTAGTTGAAGAGTTTTCAGAACCAATATATACAGAGTACACAGAAGCATAATGAGATGACGCGAAGAATTGATGTTGGGTTGAAGAGTTTTGGGATTTGTAAATGTTTGGTCTAAAAGAGCAAGGCAAATTGAACCATGCTAGATGTATACGCTTGGTTCGCGTTAAGTTTCACATTCCTATCATATAGAGTGGGTGCTAGATGTATACACTTTGTTCATAGTCACATTCCCCTAACATAGGATGGGGCCCACAATCGCGAGTTCCACTCCATGTGAGAGGGATGCGAAACTTAATGTGAACAAAGTGTGTATATTTAGCTTTATTGAGGCAAATTATAAGATCAGAGGATTAGAGAGCTACAATAGAAATTGTTTGTTACTGTAGTGCAAAATGAGTTTCTTTACCACTAGGGCGATCATCTTGATAATCGTTTTTCTCTATTCGACCAGAGAGGGTTTCAAGTCCAGAAGCATAGATCTTGTTCTACGATGGGGACGTCGTCGTGGTGGTGGTAGAGGAGGAGGAAAAAAAAAGATTTTTTTAAAATAATTTATTTGGTAATTGTTTGCATTTTTTTTTAAATTTGAAAATATGGTTTAAATTAGTTTTTTATTTTTCTTTTATTTCCTTTTTGTTTTATTTAAATATGAGGATATATTCGTCATTTTACAGTTTTTTTATTGAGAAATTAGATGAAAACGATGATCTCTTCAATGAAAGGTTGAAATATGGTGAAAATGCAGAATAAATATACAACGTTTGAACGTTTTGTAAAATGAACTTCATACGTAGGGACATTTTGTGTTCATGACCATTTTTTAAACTTGTGACGTTTGATATTGTAGACAAATAAAATTAGAAAGAACAATCGACAAATTATTTCATATGCGGTGCTCAATGCATCTATGAATTGATATTATTACCTTTATTACGCTGTACTGAACAGTACACTTAAAATAATTCTGTCCGGTACTGTAATATCTACTTACGAAAATAATCAATAATAAAACGCATCAGGAGAGGCCATTGTAGCCGTAGGGCGTTGGCAAAAGTACGTTAAACTCTCAGGACACTGGAAATCCTCAAACATGGGATTGTTGTTTGATTTGATGTAATTAAGGATTTCATTTAGGGATTGCAGTCTTTGGCTAAGTTCCATAAACTGAGCCTTAAGGATTGAATTTTCAGCCTCCATTTTCATATAATCCTCTGTGGTGAGATTTAAGCTTGTTAAGAGGTGGCTGTTTTTGTTCCTCAGTTGAGCAATTTGGGCCGTCAGATCATCCAAACGCTTCTGTTTTTTCATCCTTGATCGCCTTGCTGATTCCCTATTTGATTGAATTCTCATCCTCTTTCTTTGATCCATCAAATCCTGAATGTTTTCTTCAGAATGAGAGTTCTGTATCTGTATAAATCCAGAGAAATTTCCTCTAGCAGCAGCCATTTATAACTTCACACGAAACCTTGCAGATTATGAACAACAATAAAATCAGAAAACAAGCCAAAAAAAAAAAAAAACACGGATTTATACTGGTTCGTGAGAGTTATGTCCACTTTGCGGCTGCAAAAAGGCTTTCAAGTTTGCATGGTCTTACACGTGTAGCATACACAATATCAACCCTCCAAAAAATATCTGGTCGATATGCGGTTAAGATAAGATGTCACACTATTATTTAGCTCGAGATAGTACAAGAAATGAAATAAATTCTTGAAGAATGAAAGCCTAAAAATGGCAGGACCCTGGTGCTAATATGCTAAAGATTACAAATTCTTAACATGAAAAGGTTACGCAGAACAAATAGAGGAAGACATCAGACAAAGTTTTGAATTTTTGATAGAGAAACAGTTATAATTATGATGATTTACCAAATGGGTTTTTTGAACAATCAAATGCTCAGTTCCAAATTAGCATAATCTACTCAAGAAGTAAGAAATATGAAGAAAAAAGAGAGGAGAACCAATAATCTATAGGGGGGGAAAGAGAAGAGAAGGAAGAGGTTTCTGAGGTTGCTGGGAGGCTGATTTATAGAAGGAAAAAGGTGGGAAAGAAAATCAAGAAAAGGGAAGGAATGATTCTTTATTGAAAAATTGCATAGTAGGTTTTTCATTAATCGTTCGCGTGGCAAGTTATTTTCTAATTTTTAAACGTGGAACTTAGTTCTCAACTTTTACTTATGAATGACAATGTAGATAGTGTATATAATGGTCTTCGTCATTATTAAGACATATAGTTTCATTTTAAAATGTCAATCATATTAAGGGNTTAGTTCTCAACTTTTACTTATGAACGTAGATAGTGTATATAATGGTCTTCATCATTATTAAGACTTATAGTTTCATTTTAAAATGTCAATCATATTAAAATAGGTAACACAATTCTTTATAAGTTGGTCCATATTTTTATCTTTATTCGATATGAGAATTGAATTTTGCTAATTGTACATAAACAGTTATCGAAAATGATATAGAGAGAAAAAATTGGATGAAAAAATTGATTGTATTTTAAACTTGTGAATTGTAGAATGTCATGTGGTATTATGTAATTCATTATGTAAATCTTGATATACATATAACAAGATCCGTGAGATTTTATCTCTTCACATGCTCTGACAAGATGGTGGCTCGTTTGAGCAAATCAATCTTGAAATTCGTGTGATTATTTTTTGAGTTTTAATCGGATCGAATTGCTCGTGGTGTTTGACGGACTCTGATATTATATTTAGACCTATGGTTACATTTTAAAAGGTCAACCATATTAAGAAGAGTAACACAATCATTTGTAAGTTGGTCTATATTTTTATCTTTATTCGACGCGAGATTTTATCTCTTAACAATCATTTGACCTCATTGAAACATGCTTCATTTCAAAATTTTAAGTGCTAGTCCAAGTCGAAAAGCAAAACCTACTTTACTAAAGTTAAAAGTACAAATTGAGTGGTGGTAGAGTCGTGGAAACACTTCAGATATTTACAATCAAGAAGTATTGAATTCTCTATAACGTGACAATTTAAAATATTTTAAACTATTTTGAACGTAAGAAATTGACTATGAAACTATAACAATGGATTGATGATCAACTTGCAATTCGAGCATCAATATAAAAAATTTTGGTGCAGAATTTCCTTATCATAATGTTAAGAAACGTGGGGGGATAGGGTGGGGGTCGCCTCGGTAGTAGAATAGGGAGAGAGAGTGTACGAATGTGGTCGGTAGAAAAAGACGGTGCCATTCAAATTCACTGAAAAATAAGCCCGTTTGGTTTAGATTAAAAATCAATTAAAATCTCAATTTAAAGTAAAAAAATTAATCTTAACCGCATATTTTATGGGATTCACAACTTTTTAATCACATGTTTTATCAATTTTTATCAAAATTTACTAAAAAACTGATTTCAATCTCTATCAAACAGGATTAAATCTAAGAATTCTGACAATATTTCTTATCTAGTTTTACCAACATAAAAATATTATTTTTATATTAACAGACCTTATTTCTCCAGAACGTACCGTTTTTAACACATATAGATGCTATTCGTGAGTACATAAATTATTATTGAATGGAAATGTAACAACATATGGTGCTTATTGGTTCAATCTCCTAATAAATTGAGACAAATGTTGGGGCGAAACGTGGTTATACTGCATGCTATGCATTATTGATCACAACAATAAAATGAAAAAAATACAAGAATTTAATTTGATAGAGGAATTTAAAATTTTATTCAATTAATGGAGAAAGAATTACAATAAGGCCATATTTGATAGTACCCAAATTTCATGAAACTAGGAATTGATTTTTCATTTTCCACATTTTTGCTTGTTTGATAGGCAAAATTTTCTTGGTAAATGATTTTCCACCCAAACCCCATTTTGGTCATTTTTCTTGGTTTTTGAGGAAAACCAAATCCCACAGGCTACCTTTTTTTAATTTTTTTTTTTTTACAATTGAAACACATTATATCTCTAATTGTAATAAATTCTATCTCTTTAATGAACAATTTCCATATAAAACAAAGTCAAACGAATATCAAAAGATCTAAAATTTCAATATTTTCCACGTGAAAAATTATATTAATCAAACACAATTAATTGACAATTTTCAGGAAAACAATTTTAGGCAATTCAATTCTCTGAAATTCATTTTCTTTTTACCCAAATTCCACTATTATTATCAGACGGACCCTAATTGTGTTTTTCACAATTATTCTAATATTTGTAATAAATCAACTTGACAAGAAAAATGCAGCATATCAAAACCTTAACAATATTCTTAAAGATGGAAATAGTACAAAAAAAAAAAAAAAATGTATGGAATAAAGAAAACAATATTTTTTCAAAAAAAAAAAATCAACCGAATATAGGTCACAAACCTAACACCACGCCGTTATTTTTATTCTAAGGTATGAAAACTTTCTTTTAGCTATCTTTTGAATTAAAATTGACCATGATCTCTTCCCTCGATGATTGAGTGCCGATTTTACAAATTTCCACTAAAAGCAAATTCACAAAGTTACTCGAAAACTAAACAATTTTCCATGTCAACAGTATTTATAGACACTAAACAACTTAATTTTCTACAAAGCAATGTATGTGCTTTAACCTAAAAAGAATATTCGGTGAATAAATAATTATAAATTAGGAGGAAAAGAAATCTCTATCTAGAGGTGAACACAAAGGTTTAGCATTATATATAGGATGGTTATTAACGAAGATAGATGTGCGCTTGTGTATCTAACCACTAAAGGAAGTTCGAGATTTTTTACGGTAACTTTTGTTTGATTCTTAGTTCTATTGGCGTGAGGAACATAATCAATGCTATAATTACAGATAAATTTCACAGAATGCATACAGGAATTTGGAATGGATTGAAACATTGAGGAGGGAAAAAATCAGTTACATGGACCGGATTTTTCAATTCAAATTTTTGTAGAAATTCTGGCAATATTTCCTGTATTTGGAGAATTATTCATCTTGCTAAGGTTAGTGTCACACTGACATCTTAGGTCCCACTGTGTTACGTCTTGATCAGGTCAATTAATCGCAATAAGTCTTGACAGCCACTTGCGTGCTCAACTATATACAAAAGAACAATAGAAATAATGTTAGTGAATAATGGATACAAATGACTCGTGGAAAACATTGAGATTCCTTTTGTTGTGATAATTAAATCAATAATAGCACCAAGAAAGGTCTAAAAGGTCAATTTGTAGGGCATGGATGACATTTTCGAAATGGAAAGTAGTAGTTAAGAGTGAGGACTTTTCTCCCTAACTTTATGCATGTGATCAATGATATATAAAGATTTTCACCATATTTATAATATGTCGAAAAAAAAAAAGAAAGAAAATTAAGTTTTTGCTTGGAAGAAATTATTTGAAGTAATTTTATTTATTTATTTTGAGAATGTGCAGTTAAAAAGTGTGAAAAAGTTGCAGGGTTTACTTGTGAAAGTGAATGTACACCGATGTGTGTACATTTAGTATCTTTGTAATTTGTTTGAAAAAGTAACTTTTAAGGTATTTCAACCTACAAGAACATAATTAGTCTAGCTAAAAAAAGAAAAGTAAATATAAGTTCTTGCTTTATTAAATACTTCAATTAAATTTTGATGTGTTTAAATATTATAAATTAGTATATTTAAACTGTGGTAATTGCTTAATTAAATAAGGAAGATGACAAATTCTTTCACCTTTCATTTGGAAACTTTCCATAACATCAGCTCAGCACATTATTTCTTATAAAGGATTGCTTACAAATGCGTAGTCATGCGTTCGTTCAGATCAACATATTGTGTTAGTTAAATAGTTGGAGTGAACCAGGTTTGATTGTGACGATTTGTGACAAATTTTCAAAACAGACCAATTAAAGCGGTTTGGAATTTTTTTTAAAACCAAACCGCGCCACTTTACTTTTCAAAACAAACTTTTTCAGTTTGGATCGGTTTAAAATCACGATTTAGAAAATAAAAAAATAATATACATGGAACAAATCTAATCATAAATATTAGTCTAAAATATCATGTTAAAACATAAATATTAGTATTATTACAAATACTTTAAGCAAAAATTCTACAGTTTTAATCAATAATAAAAATAAAAAGTTCTAACCCCTTAGTCGATACTAGTTGGCTCAGCATCTTCAATTGTAACAAATGATTTACTATCTGCATAAAGATAAGAATATAGAAAAATTATTCATTAATTATAATTAAATGGTATAAAGCAACTAATAAAAGAAAATAAAAAGAAATATCATATACAATAATATCTTTTATAGGTTTCTCCGAATCTTCTATTGCTTCTATGTCATCCACATATTGATGAATCATTATAGGTTCTTTGTTACTATGCAACCAATTCTTAGTACAAATCACCTCTTCAACTATCTTTTCACTCTGCGAACTCTTAAACGAATTGAGAATTTAATGACTCAGAAGCAACTGTGG